TTTTCACTTTTAAATATAAAAACGTGGGTGTTCAAAAAGTTCTTTGAAAATAGTTATTATTCGTAAACAGAATGCTATATTTATAATTATTTGATTCCGGCATATACTTTTTGAGATTTATTTTATCAGCATTCATCTCTAGCCTCATCAGACATTTTTATTCCCAAATTAAAACAAAACAAAAAGAGAGATATTAATGATATTCGCTGGCAGTTGATAGATCAAGCGAAACGTTTTGTTTGGTATATTAGAATATACGACCGGGATGCTTACTGGGAGGATTTTCCATGAAAAACTAGCCAGTTTTTAGGTAATATAAACATGAAGAAAACCGTGAAAACTCCACGTGGCCAGCCCGTTGACCAGGCATGAACAACTACCAGTGTTCAGTGGTTTTATTCATTCGGTCACTGATGGTCACTGGAGTGAAACGTCGTGCAGTGCAGTGGCTAGAATCAAGAAGCAGTGATTTTTCCAGAAGGGCTTATAAGGATGGCGACATCATATGGAAAAATATTTTAACTTAAATGGAACATACGTTTAAAAAAATAAAGCGCTAAATTCAATTTTCTGTCTTTCTATTTACATTTTCCGGGAACTTTTTGAACGCCCCTTGTAGTTCCAATGTTCATACATACGTAGCAATCTTAATCTAACCTTGTCTTAAAAGGCTGTCTATTGTTAACCATATTATCCTTGAAGTTCTCGGAACTTTCTTATTTTTTAATTTTCCTTCCAGTCTCGAGAGACTAAATAAAAATATGGTGATCACAGGTAAACTCACAGCAATACCCAACCATACCTGAAAAATACAAAAAATTTTTTTGTTATTTATTAATTTATTAAATCAAACCTATATTTCTAAAATTTTACTTTTGTAATTTTCATGTATTGCTGCTTAATAGATTTTAATAACTTCTGCAATTATGTATGTATGAAAGTAACTACGAAATTTTCTGGATGAAGTTTCTTATGTTAATGTGGTGAATCCAACTTTGGGTACTGATTTAATTAAAACAGTATAGTTTCTATCAATTCTATATTATGTATTTAAGTGTATTAACTGTAATATAGTAATTACTAAAGTTAATTTATCCAATTAAAAATGCTGTATCGTCCACTAAATATTTCGCTGTTACCCTATGGGATTACCGAGATTGTACTCTGTTAGTTCTCCCTCTCCGATAAGAATATTTGGAATAAAAATTCTGTATTCACCGTTACTGAAAAAGGCTTGATAAATGCTGCTGATTTGTCTAAAGGTTGTGCAGCTCNGTAAACTGAAAAAAAAGCTTTGCATATTGTCTATTGGAATGTTACCTTACTATAGAACTGGTTAAAATCAGTTTGGAAATAAAAATAATTACAATAATTACAACTTTACAAGAAGAGAGAAATTGACGAAGTTGCCCCATTTAATTATAATCAAAATATATTTAAAATAATTAAAATAAATCTTAAAACACGTAATTTTATACATTACATACTATCACTACTACAGTATTTCTATCGTCAGAATCGGTAGCCTCACTACAAAAGAAAATCATTACCATTTTTTCTTGTATTTGTTGCTGTTGTTATTTACATATTTAGAGCCTGTAGTGGTTTCATTACTTCAGGATTAATAACTACTCTTGTATGCTTTTATTGTTCTCTTCTTGTAGATGTAATTAATGAGTCTGACATTATCAAAAGATTATGTAGTAAATCTTTATTTGCTTGGATTCTTGACACTTTTCTTGCATGTTCTAGACCAGGCCTTCTTAAACTATGGGTCGCAACCCCATTTGGGGTCACTTAGCGAAATCTTGGGGTCACGAGATTATAATGCAAAATTTTGAAAATAATTTTGAGAGTTTGAAAATGAGTTTGAAAGTGAGGCATGCTTTGTGTCATAAGTTTCGTGAGTTACTCTTTGTGTTACTTCTGGTGCAGCGAAACAATGATTCAGCAACACTGATTGTAGTGTGAACTAGTGTAGTGTTGTCACTTTTCAGTGTATTCAGTTGTCTCTGTTCCATTGTAAAACAAGAGTGAACTGTGGTAGCACACCATTATTGTTTTTGTAAATTTGTATACTGCATATCTTTATTTTGTATTTTTGGGTCGTGAAAAAAATCACAATCATAAATGGGGTCGTGAATAAAAAAAGTTTAAGAAGCCCTGTTCTAGACGAACTTTCTTATATGCTTCTTCAGATCTCTGTCCAATTGGAAGCAAAAAGTTTTGTATTATTTCTGGACCATGTATAAGTATCTTGTGAGAAGTAACTGGGATTGGATACAAATTATACAAACATAGAAATATGCAGTCTCGTCACAATACTCTTTCAATGCACATTTATTTATCTCGTACTTACAAGTCAAAGTGCGCAATAATATACGAAATCGCTCAATTATTGTTACTCATTTCTGTACATCCAATCTATACTCAATATGTAAAATACATTCCACCAATCTTATTTGTACATATAGCGTAGATAAACCTCAAGAAAATGTCAGAACTTCGTCGAACTATTTTTTAATTACTGAACTTTCGACGTTGCTTGGCAAATATAGTATTTTTGGGTTGCCCTATTTCATTATCACATTATATCATCGTTTTTCAACATTTCGTATAATTCTTGTTTCCACACTTTCATGAATTAATTACAATTAATTTCTGATTAACTTGCCAATATAGAGAGGTAGTATTTTGTTACAAATCTATGGGTTCGAAAAACCATTTATAAATTTAAATTTAAACCACATTCTCTGATGTAAACGTTCCACGATGATTCGGTGAAATACCTACAAAAGATTTAATTTCTCAACCGAACATTAGAAAGTGACCTTCACCGTTCCAGCGCTCTCTTCAACTTTTTTAACTCGCTTCATTGATCTGTAATGGTCTATGAACACTCCTTCGGACTAATTGTTAGCCAAACCAGAAGCTTCGGCGAAAACTTAAAGTATCGTTTGTATTTGATTTCGGGATCCACATCTAGCCCTTCTTTGGTAAACAGTCATTGTTACCAGCATACTCACTTCCGTCGAAACTGAAATAGAGCTCGTTGTCCATAACCACATCAAGTGTGTTTGATGTTCGACACACTATCACGCAGCTTCTACAGAAGGGTTTTTGTATAACCAGTTCCTTCGTCGTGTATTCAGGAGCAGACATTCCCTTCTTGAAAATCACTTGACATTTCTTTACAATCCGGCGAATATGCCCGTCTGAAATGTTAAACTTTCTTCCCACTTTTCTAAGCTTTTGTCAAACTTTTTCTAAGTGTTTTTCCTCCAATTAGTTCCTTCCTGTTCTTTTCATTCATTTTCCAACTCTTTTGATCATTTGCCGTTATTCTTTCAGCAAGTTCCCATCTACTCTACTCTTCAAATGATACTATAGGGGAGATCGGGGCAAGATCGGCATGTTAAGCTTTACTTAAATTTTGTGTAATAAATACTGCTGTGAACTGAAAAAAAAGCTTTGCATATTGTCTATTGGAATGTTACCTTACTATAGAACTGGTTAAAATCAGTTTGGAAATAAAAATAATTAAAATAATTACAACTTTA